ATTTTTATTTTTTATATAATATAATATATTATTATATAAATAGATAAATATTAATTCTTGTCTACTCTTTGCATAACATGATATGTTTTAACTTATTGATGATGATTAAATTCTCTTAAGTGTTGGTGTTAGAACTTACTCACGAAGTATTCAATATATAATATTAATATCTTATCGGTTGATCTAATCCTTAAATTAATTAGAAGGTTAAATCAGCTTACAACATCATTTTTAATTGTTAAATCTAAAATTAACTACTAACACAATTCATCTAAAAGTACTTATACTGGCATGGCCTGTGGACTCTACTTGAACAATGCTTGCCTGCAATTATCAAACTTTAATGTTAGCGGTAACTTAAATAAGATAGATCTTACTTATACAGTTATACCCTTAAATAGAAAGATTAATTAGTATGTTAAGTTCATAAATATATATGGTAAAAAAAAAGTTCATAAATATATATGTATCATATTCGTTTATTTATCAATATGAGACATCATACTAATACAATAAATGCAAAATCTGCAATGGAAAACATAATTATTAGTAATTAAATTTCTTAGTACTACACACGGTAGATTTTTGCGTTAATTATGATGCAGAGGTGGAGACAACAATTAAGTGAATATAATGCCACACAATATTGGAGTTGGAGGTGTCCTTTATGGGAGATGAGATTTGATGCAAAATCATAGTATCGCACCATGAAAATCAACTCACCAAACTCATAATTTGTCGCCCAGATTTCCTCCCTAATCATTTTAGTTTTGTTTTTATTGCCTCTAATCAACAAACAGTAATCCCAAAATATAACCCTACCTCATCATCCTAATTAAGGGTGTGTTTGATTGGAGAAAAGTTCCTACTGTAAATTTTTTGTACAAGAGCTACTCTCTGGTCTAGTTTCTCCCTAAGAGAAAAGGCAAATCAGAATTCTGCTCCGTGTCAATTCTGTCTTTCTTTTCATTGATTTGCCAAGAAATTATAAACATTACGTGAATCCAACATTTTTCTTATTTCTTATACCAAAAGTCGTAGCCCTATGGTTCCTATGCCAGCTAGAAAGCTGCCTTCAAAGTTCAATATCTGGAAAAAAATAGTGTACTCCTGATATATTAGATGATTAATTCCAATAGAGGATTTACACATCGAAACGATTTCTGGATCTAAATGAAGAAATTTGATTATTTTAAATAAAATTTTAAATTTAATTTTTGTAAATAGAAAAATATGTAATAAAATTTTTTTATGAGATTTGACGTAATTTAATTTTAAATTAATTAAAATATAGTATGATTTTTGAATAATAAAAAATTAATAAAAAAACTACAAGATTTATACTTTGCAGGTTGCTTGTGTGATGTGACCATTTTATTACTATACTCGTTCTTTTTTCTTATTTAAAAAGAAAAAGCCTAATTCCACTCGTTATGCTATCCATTGAAATAAATAAATTAAAGTGAACTAAAAGTTATTACCTAAACTTAAAGAACCGTTTTTTACTGTTAAAATGTTGAATTGAATTAGAGGTTTTTTAGTTTGAATTGTGTTCTATTGAATTGTACAATCAATATTATTAGAAGGGAGGACTTTTCCCTATGTTATAAAGTTTGTCTTTATTTTTTTGATTAATTTTGTGTAATTTAAACCATACAAATTACTTTTATTTTAAAATTATAAATTAATTTATCTATTTTAAAATAATAGATATTTTTTTATTTTTAAATTAATAATTAAAAAATAATTATAAAATTAAAGTAAAAAAATAATTATCTTTTTGAAGTTATGTGAAGGTGATAGTTGTTATAAAATAAAATTTAAATACAAAAATTTATTATTCTACGACGAGAGAAATATAAATGTTAGCTTATGATTCAGCTATTGTGTGGTTTAACCAACACGTTATGATTTAATCCACGCAAATTGCGGGTCCAATAGGTTGACAAATATGAAATAAAGATTCATAACCCTTTTATAATGAATAAGGTTAAATTGGGTTCAAAGTTAGATCGACTTTTGTCATGTCAAGTTACATGGGTCATAAGGCATGAATTAGTGAGACACGGTTCAGACATTATAAATATTAATCTACAGTAATAGAACATCATGTCGAGATTATGCAAACAAAAAATGATTAATGTTGAAATTATACACTAAATCATGATTAGTAGCAAGCGGGAAGTGTTTTGGATCGTGGTGGCTTTTTCGCTCTGTTTCTTTTGCCTTCTTGCATGATGACGATGACAATGGCGACAAGTGGACAACCAATGAGAATTCTCTCTCGAGCATATGTGACCGTCACATGCCCACTTTCCGGCGACAACTTCCGACAAAGACACGTGTGAATTATGAGTCATCATATGAGATTATAGGCTAAAGTGTGGAGCTTTATGTTCTGTAATAATGGGTATGGAAAGGGGTTACCCTTTTGTTAATTATGTAAAGATTCTCCTTTTCTTCAATGTGCACCGTCTTTGATTGATTATGCTGTAATACAGTGACTCATGATCTAATAGATATGATTCTTCCAACTTTTTCAAGGAAAATTAATGCAATTTTATAGCAAATTTGCAACCTGTTTACTTTTGTCGGTATTTGCAACCTGTTTGTTATAATGTCATTACAACAAGTCAAGTTAGTTCAAATGATAATTAATGATATGGATCAGATTAAAATTACAAGTTTTAAATATCTTATTTGTTATTTGTGTAAAGTGTGTTGAGTGGTAAAATCTTATATTGAAATATAACAAGAAATTTGTGATTTAAATATAGAAGGAATAACTTTATTTATTGTTAATTAATTTTAAATTTAAATTAAATGTAAATATTATGTTAAAATCCGCATTCCCAAGCCAGTCTACAAGTCTAGTTGGTTATTGGTCCAGGTACCATCTCAACAAAAAATTTATAATGTCATTAGGTTGTTAAATTAAGCCGTTTAGTTTTGAACTCTCTTTATGGGCTTCCAATTTTCCATGTATCCCTTCTTTGATGGAATATGTGCACTCAGGCTTAAAGAGGGCTTCCTATTCTTCCAATGTATCCCTTGTTTGATGGACAGCGTTCACCCAGGCTCTAAAATGGAGCTCGGCCCAACTCTTCTGAGGGTTCCAGGGTCCAGGCTGCAAAGCATTCCATTTCTTGCATAGATGAAAGATGTTAAAGTTCCTGCTAAATTTTTTTGATTGCCAAAGAAAGTTAGTGCTTGGTATTGTAGAAATCCTAGCCCCAGACCTAAATCTTAGAATTAAGGTTTTGATTTTGCGGTTAGTTAGTTCTCACTCAATGTTAAGTTGTATATCCTTCTTAGAAAACCAGCAACATAGATCCTATCATACAAGCTCCAGATAGACAATAATGTTCTTTTGTAAGACTGATTGAGTGAGTTACCATGACAGAATCAGTCCTCATCCTTCGGCAAATGCAAAATCTTATTGGAATCAGAATCTATTCAGAGGGATACACTTGTGCAGTTTCAAGGGAAAATTTTTTTGACAAGAGAAAATCATCAGTTACAGAAGCATGGGTCCAATTTTATCTTACAAGTAGATGCAATTTGGGATAACTTAAATATAACCTGAAAACACACAGACAAGGCAAGGACTAAGAGCATAAACTTTAAGCAGATTACCTCTTCAATGTCCTCTTTCTCAGAAACGAGGGGTCCTAGACACCTGTGTTTTATTTTATGCTGTCATAAACTTCTTATATTCTGCTTTCCTTGTTGCTGCTTTTGCTTTACATGGAATTTTTTCCTATCATTTAAGTTTCAGTACCCATAGAAACCAGAGAGATTTAATGAGCATTGCCTTCCGGAAATAGTATATACTTGGTAAAGTTCCAACTTGGACCACCAATCAAGAATCAAATCTCAAAATGCAGCACCGAGACAAATCCCACATAGCATATGCCTAGGTCCCTTGTAGTTTAGTGTGTTTAGACCAGATTTGCATTGGCCTGGACACGCAATCATAGCTCCAAGGATGTTAAGCATCTGCTTAGTGCAATTCCATGTCCAAGGGGGCAGCTATTGAAAGTTGACAACATTCATTGTAACCGAACCAAAACAAATAACTTCTGGAAGATACTTAGGAATGGCCCCTCCCCGCCATTGGCGGGTACGGGATCACCACGGGGATTTTTTATGGAGGACAACAAATGCCCAACTTCCCCATCCAGGGAATGAAGGGTCCTGTGGGTATGGGGAATCCCCGCTAAAGATATAAAATTGCTAACTCAACCTCATTTTTTTCAACAATTTGATAATTTTGTGAAATCTACCAGATTTTATATTGCCAATCTCGTAGTCTTGTATTGAAGCTTCCCATTTTCCCAGCTATTACAGACAAATTTAAGCATTGGAAATAAATTGTTCCTTTTCCTCTAGCAAAAAATCAGTTCGCCAATTTGTTCCAGAACAAGAACTGATCTAGCTGGGAAGTGAGACTTGATTACCTTGATAGAGTCGAGAGAGATGCAGCAGCACAAGTTTTTGAGCAGCAGATGATGATTGATGAAGTGAGGAACGGAGTAGGTGACGTCCGTGAGGATTTGGAGCTGGAGCCTGGAGGCGACTGTCGAGCAAAGCATCTGATGAGTGATGGACCTGATGGTTGCTGGTTTAGGCTTGGTAGGGTTTGTGTTATAGTGTTTGTGGGTTTGGGGGAAAGAGGAATTGGGCTGGGGAATTTGGGTTGGAAA